GCGGCAGTGTGGCACTGGGCAAGATGGACCTGTGGTCTGATGCAGTACATGGCGATTCTTATGTTCTGAATGCATTGTACATATGCCCTGAGATCCTTTCCAGCATGCTGTGGGATGCAACACATTAGCACCACCAAGATGCACAAAAGAAACCCACAAAGTTTCCAAGCAGGAATCTGTAGTGTCCAAAACTGCCCTGCTGTGGTCCAAGTTCTTTGCCACTGAAGAACGGCTCCAGTATTTTTTCTGGAGCTTGAAAACAGGTGAAAAATCAGAGCTGGCCTTTCCTGAGGGGACCTGAGTCTGTCCAGGGTGGGGCTTGAGTCTAAAGAGGTGCCTCAGAGAAACCCAGGGCAACCTGTAGACCTTCCCCTGCAGCCCTAGGGTCCAGAGGCTGGGTGGGAAGGAAGCAGCAAGGCCCCAGCCTTCACGTGACTCCAGCAGCCCACTCCCCTCATGGGGGCTAGGCTGGGCCCTCCACAGCTTGCAGCACCAGCCCCCAAGGCCCTGGGGGTCCCTCAGGTGCTGCGCTGAGCTAGACTGCGTTGACTGTTGGCGCTTGGCTTTATCAGCAGCAGGTAGGGCCAGGAGGTGGGAGGCCCCAAGCCCTGCCTGGCTATGGGGTGGGGTGGGGTGGGAGTGGGGCAGACAACATCCCCTTGCTGCCGGGGCTCTGCTCCTTGCAGCCTCCGGTGCTGGGGCATCCTGCCACGGAGGGGTTGCGGCCACCCTAGCCTGGTGGCTCTGGGCCTGGGGGGAAGTTGTGGGCACCTGGGAGTGCAGGCTGTGCTTCCTGTGCTGCTAGAGAAGGAAACCCCCTTCCTTGCCCTGTGCATCCTCCCACGCTTGCAGCCAGCGTAGCACTTGCTTGTGTCCTACCTTCCCCTCGTCTTGTCCCACAGGACCTTTCCCTTTGGAAATCATCAGTCCTGCTTCAGCCATGCGAGGGTCTGATTGGAGAGCAGCAGTTCTTTGCCAAGGTGAATCGTTTCAGGGGAACCTCGAGATCCTTTCAAGGGTGTCTTGAGATCCTTTAAGGGCGATCTCGAGATCCTTTCGAGAGTGCCATGGGGTCCTACGCTGCATCAGCCCTTTTAGACATGCAAACATGATTCATAAGATAAACCCGGAGATTTCAAAAAGAAACCCATAGCTGTGGTCTTCGTGAATTCGTTGCAATAGAAGAACTACACTTCTTATTTTTTTGTAGTAAAAAAAACAGGTGAAAACTAAGAGCTGGTGTTTTCCAAGGGGTGCCTTGAGTTTATTCAGGGGTGCCTTGAATATAAAATGAGAACCATTCTAGAGAGTGCTCAAGGTCCAAGGATTTAAACCCAAGAGTTTAACAGAAAAGGTGAGATTTCGAATGTTTTAAGCTTAGGATTTCACAAAAAGACATAGAATAGCCCAACTATGCAGTCAGTGCAATAAAAGATATCACCCTAAGAAGAAATCCTTGCCTCTTGCATACAGCTGCACCATCACTCTAACACTACTAAAAATGTCTCACCTGCATCGGGCATGAGAAACTCTGCCAGAAATTCCCAGTCATCCAGAACAGTTCTTCATTCCTGGCATTTATTTTTTACATGGAAATTGCCTGCAGCCTTTATTGTTCAATTGTATACTTTATCCCATGTGAACTTCAGATAAACCAGTTGCATTATAACTTTAAGCACACTTAGAACTGAATTGCAAATATGTAGGACTTGAGAGATCAGAATACCTCAGACTGTTGCTGAGATGAATGTGCATCATCATCATCAAACATATCAGAGTCAATAAATTGCTGTCCAAAATACAGGTGAAATTAGTTGGGATTAACCAACTTTTATTAGATATACTGGAAAGTTTTATTTTGTTCCTATTGGGTTTGGCAGTAGCTCTAAATATATCATATTTCAGGCTGCAAATCTGAAAAGGATCTTGCTGAGTGTTCAAAGTTAAACATAATCCAACCAGTCACTTGGAAATATTAAAATGAGTGGAGCTAATTTCTCAATAGGAAATTTTCTTGGTAAGAAGACTGGTCTGCTGGTAAATCTTCCATGCTAATCAGATTTCATCCCTTGACAAATCTGAGCATCTTCCAGTACTGCATTATGTAGAGTGACTAATATACATGGTGTAGAGTCCATGATGCAAATAGGAAGTGCACAGCAAGGAAGTGTCAAAAAGGGAAACACTGAAACATTTGCAAAGCTTTTCTTTCCCTTGTCTCCTCACTCTGGGCTTCCTTTCCCTCTGCCCCCTCCTACTGTATGTTTTCTTGTTTCTCTTTTGTATTTTCATTTGTTTCCAGTGGCATTGTTCAAGAGCATACAATCTTAATCAGAGCGCTGTTGACTCAGAAATGCAGTTGCCTCCAAATGATGTGATCAGAAGCTAAATAAGATAGAGGCCTATATTTTGAGGTTTGAAAGTGAATTTGTGTCTCGTGGAAGTTGCCAGGTTGTTAGGTTTCTTTGTCCTCGGAGCGGATGCAGGTACAATCTGGGCAGTAGCAGTCAAACTTCTCCACACCAATACTGACGTCCAATACTGTTTTGGAAGTGTTATCTCTTGGTGCAAAAGCAAATTAATGCATATTAGTGTCTTGGCTTCACTGGACAAAATCTAGGTATTACACACAGAAAATGACAGAATGCTCTCTGAATGCTCATGTTTCCAGCAACACATATCTGGTTCAGGGTCCCAAGTGTTGTTTGATCAATGGGTTAGGACATTTTATTTGGACCTGAGTAAGGGCACTTTAATTAGGATCTGAAGAACGGCACTTGAAGGTGTCCAAAACCTTATCCAGCAGCTCTCCCAACTATACAGTTATTCCGATAAAACACATCACAAAAAACCCTGGACATTTCCTGGACTATCCTGGCTACACCACTCCCACCTTGCTTAGACACGTTATTTCTTTGTTTGTTTGAGACGACAGGTTCAAGAACGGCCTCTGTCTCAGATTTGATTAACGTGGGTTATCGGTTTTATTTTAAAAGTAATGTACCTTATGTACGCAACCCCACAAAGCTGTATGTGCACTCGCAAAGCTGCACTCTCAAATCCTGGGTCTCTGGGCTGGTGCTTTCTGACTGGGGACAAAAACTGCATTCCTG